GAAGGGACGAGCCCTCCCCCGCGGCGCCATGCACTGAAGCAGCGGCTGGGATTGTTTGCGCGCTGAGTCCCACCAGCGGGGAGCGTGGAGGGCGGCAGTTCCCTTTTGTTTGGAGATTTCGCCGCATTCGGGGAAGGAGGCGGCGGAGGGCGTCATGGCGTCTGCCTTTTCCAATGGTCCCGGCGTCCCGAGCGAAGCGGAGGTGGTGCACCTCTGCCGGAGCCTGGAAGTGGGCACCGTCATGACTTTGTTTTACTCCAAAAAATCCCAGCGGCCGGAGAGGAAAACTTTCCAGGTGAAGCTCGAAACGCGGCAGATCACTTGGAGCCGGGGCTCGGAGAAGGTCGAAGGGGCGAGTAAGTTGCCTGGATCCTTCTTCTCTTTAAACGGCTAACCCTGGCTGCGTCTCGTTCCTCTTTCGGAGCAGGGCTTAGGAGCCTGCGGGTGCCTGGCGCTTGGCATGGGCCGGAGGCGGGCTGCGTTCGGTGTAAGTGAGGCGCCCTGGGAACTAGATACAGCAGTGGAAAATGTCCTAAAGAAATATCCATTTTAAAAAATGCCTGCCGTTCTCTCTCTTCTCCCCCACCCCCCCCATTTACATTACTGATCTGAGAGTGGAATTGCAAGTGCATCTGTCTTAATTATCTGACAATTTGTTTTGGCCCTTCTTATTTTGCCTGTCTCCTACCCCACCTACTAAAATTGCAGCAGAAACGTAAGAGGAAAAATAGATTTCCTGTTTCCTCGGGATTTAAAAAAAAAACTAAAAGTATTTTTATCCATTCTTGCTACTGTAATTTAATGTATCTAGGTTCTCATGGTCTTGAGTACCTGTGCATGCATGCGCGGGAGATGGGGGTGGGGGAGAGAAGAGAGAGAAATTACAGTGAAGTTTTTGTGTTTTACTTGCAAAAGCGAATGATCCAAAAACGGTTGAAGCCTTTGGAGAGTGATTGGATTTTTAACTCTTGCTCCACTTTTAGCAAGTTGTATTCCCTTGCTCATATATCCTACCATCTTTGATTTGTGTGTTGATTGAGTGGGAGCTGTGCTGCATGTAGATACAAACTCCTTTTATTATCCATGCCTGCTTAAGAGGACAGTAGTCTAGCCAGTTACATGGAAATTCTTGACTGTCTGCAGACCTAATTTTTATCTTAAAGCCATGAAGTAGTTGGTTGCTTTGTTTACTCTGGTATTTAAAGTTATGGACAGAGTTGGTAGGTCCAGCCCTGATTTTGATTACTGCAGTGAGGTCATACCTGAAGCAGTGGATGGCTGGAGAGATGGATTTCTGTGCCAGATACAGTTGAAAAATTAACATTGTGGGTAGTGACTCCTCTGCTGCTTTTCATTTTCCTGGAGCTTGATGATAATCTGCAAAACAAGAACGCTTATCTGCCAGATAAGCTATTAGTGCCTAATTTCTCTCACTTGCAGGTACATAAGCAGATGTTGACACAACTAACTGCGAGATGGATTGATATGTTGTAATCCTCTCATAAACTGTACTAGCTAAATTGTAAAATACTAATATGTCTAGTAGTAATTACATGGCTAGTAGTCTGATATGCATTATTAGTAGGGACTGTCATTTGGTATCAAGTTGGTTCCCATAAAAATAGGATAGGCTGGGTCTAAAATCAGGGGTGCGTCCTTTTTGTATCTGTGTCCCTGCCATGTTTTTAGTACAAATTGAGCATCGACATTGATTTCTCAAGAAGAGCAGTTCTCTCCTGTCTCCTTCCTGAACCAGAGCTTGATCATTAATAGGATATCTGGTTTCTGCGTCTGACACATTTCTGTCCATAAGCTAACCATCTGCTATTTGGTCAGTTCGCATGGATCATAAGTAAATAGTGGGTTTTAATAGTGTTTAGATACTATGGTGATGGGTGCTGTAGAAATTAGATAGCACTCTAGAAAGCTGGGTGATATTTAACTTTCATCTTGGTAAATGACTGCAGAGACTTAGGATAAGACTGAAGTCTGTAATTCTCTTGATATCTTTACTGACAGCACCTCTGTATAAGAGGGATAGCTAAGCTCTGTAAAAAATCTTTACAGAAGGCAATCCAATAAAATCTTCTGTTTTCACATGTAGCACCTGAGGCAGGAAAAACACTTGGTTTTTTTTTTCCATTCGCTTCCTTTGTGCATTTGACAACACATTGTGTATAGTGTGTCTCAGGGTTTCCGGCATATTCAGTTAGGTCCTGATCCTGCAAGCTGCTCTGTGTAGGCAGACTTACTTGTTGGACCTTTGTCAGTTTCCTTTGTTGTTTGATGTGGCTCTTCAACACAACAAGAAAGAGAAAAGCATTGGAAATAGTGCACGTAAACCACAGAGAAGCAAGGGGCCTAGGTGTTTTGGTCCAACCTGAAAGTACTTCTAACTCCTCTCTTCTTTCCAGGTTGCTCAGGTCCCACAACCCCAGTGTGAGGCAAGTAAATATTATCCCTAATTTGCAAGGTCAGCAGGGACTGAAATACATAAAGATGAAGTGATTTACACAAGATCTGGACTGTTTTACAAAGATTGTATGTGCATGTCTTGTGTTTATGCATTAAGCATCACGACTAACACATAAGAGTGGCCAATACCAGGTGCCCAAGGGGGAATGAACAGAACAGGTAATCATCAAGCGATCTCTTCTGTCACCCATTCCCAGCTTCTGACAAACAGAGGCTATGAACAACATTCCAGGCTAATAGCCATTGATGGACTTATCCTCCATTAATTTATAGAGCTCTTTTTTGACCCCTTTTATAGTCTTGGACTTCACAACATCCTCTGGCAAGTAGTTCCACAGATTGATTACATTATGTGAAGAAGTACTTCCTTTTGTTTGTTTTAAACCTGCTACCTATTAATTTCATTTGGGATCCCTTAGTTCTTGTGTTATGGGAAGGAGTAAATAACTCTTCTTTGTTCACTTTTTCCACTCCAGTCATGATGTTATAGACCTCTACCTTCTCCCCTCTTTTTTTTGCAAGCTGGAAAGTCCCAATCTTACTAATCTTTCCTCATAGGACAGCCATACCCCTAATCATTTTTGTTGCCCTTTTATGAACTTTTTCCAATGCCAGGATATCTTTTTTGAGATGAAGCGACCACATCTGCTCTCAGTATTCAAGATGTGGGTGTGCCATGAATTTATATAGAGGCATTAAAATAGTCTGTCTTATTCTCTATCCCGTTCTTAATGATTCCTAATTATTTTTTTAAGTGCTGCACACTGAGTGGATGTTTTCAGAGAACTATCCGCAATGATTGTAAGATCTTTCTCTCTTGAATGGTAATAACTTAGTCCCCATCATATTATATGTATAGTTGGGATTATGTTTGCCAGTATGCATTTATTTTGCATTTATCAACATTAAAATTCATCTGCCATTTTGTTGCCCACTTACCTAGCTTTCTGAGATCCTTTTGAAGCGCTTCCGTCTGCTTTGAACTTATGTAACTAAACTGCTTAAGATACTTCTGCAAATTTTGCCACCTCACTGTTTACCCCTTTCTCCAGATCATTTATGAATATTTCAAATAGGAATGATCCCAGTATGAACCCCTGGGGGATACCACTCTCGATTTTGAAAACTGATAATTTATTTCCTTTGTTTTCTATCTTTTAGCCAGTTATCAATCATTGAGAGAACCTGCCCTCTTATCCCAGGTTAGCTGGCTTTGACCAGGTACCATTTGAAAGGCTCTTCAGCAAAGGCTTTCTGGAAATCTAAATACAATGAGTCTGTACACAAGCCAGGACTAGAACCCAAGGCTATGCCTTAGACACTTGGGGGGGTGGTGGTGTAAAATCGCATTTAATCAGTTAACCGGTTAAATGTTAGGTTTAATGGGTTCACTGATTAAGTGGAATCCTGAGCCAAAACCGCCCTTGGCCCCACAGAGCCAGCTTCTGCCATGGTGCGGTGCAGAGCTGAAGCAGCCCTACACCTGCTGCAGACCACAGGCACAGGGCTGCTCTTGTTACCTGGGAAGCATAACTGTTACCTGGGAAGCATCACCAGTTACCCTTTCATGTCCCTATTAGCCACTAGCTCCCCGTTCCTCCTCACAGAATATTGTGCTTCTGTCTTGATGCCTAAGCTGAAGAGATTATAAATATTTTGTATTGCCATGGGAGACTTGAGCAGAGCTGCTTTTCTTGCAGGGCCAAGGGAAGGCAAGTGGAGCCTGTTTGTTTTGTTAGGCTAACGTCTAATGAAAGGACAGGGGACTCGGCTGCTGGAGCCTTGTGGCCTCTCCTCACTGCAAGCTTCAGAGGCGTAGGTGAAATTGCATGTTAGCTCTGTAGCAGGGAGGGCAGCATTTTCCTATTTATTGGCAGTATAAAGACAGCTGGGCAATAGGTATTTCCCCATCTTCCCTTCTCTGTCCTGTCCAACATCAGCTGCTGCCTGGCCTGGCCCCGCCATGCCTATTGTCACTCAAATGCTTTCAAACTGTTGGTGCCGATTGGCCCATGATGCCTCCAGTTACACTTGTAAACAGGCACATCTGTGTTTTCTCCTGCACTGCCCGATATGCTTGGGGGGTGATCGTGGTACACATTGCAAAGTGCTCTCATTGTCCAGTCACATGCCACCTTAAAACGCCCCTTTGCCATGGTGCCTACAGAACTCTTTGGCTACAGGTGTGCTGAGACCCACCTGTTCATAGAATCATAGAATAATAGGACTGGAAGGGACCTCGAAAGGTCATCGAGTCCAGCCCCCCGCTCTCAAGCCAGGACCAAGCTCCATCTACACCATCCCTGACAGATGTCTATCTAACCTGTTCTTAAATATCTCCAGAGAGGGAGATTCCACCACCTCCCTTGGCAATTTATTCCAATATTTGACCACCCTGACAGTTAGGAATTTTTTCCTAATGTCCAATCTAAACCTCCCCTGCTGCACTTTAAGCCCATTACTCCTTGTCCTGTCCTCAGTAACCAAGAGGAACACATTTTCTCCTTCCTCCTTGTGACACCCTTTTAGATATTTGAAACCCGCTATCATGTCCCCCCTTAATCTTCTTTTTTCCAAACTAAACAAGCCCAGTTCATGAAGCCTGGCTTCATAGGTCATGTTCTCTAAACCTTTAATCATTCTTGTCGCTCTTCTCTGTACCCTTTCCAATTTCTCCACATCTTTCTTGAAATGTGGCGCCCAGAACTGGACACAGTACTCCAGCTGAGGCCTAACTAGTGCAGAGTAGAGCGGCAGAATGACTTCACGAGTTTTGCTTACAACACACCTGTTGATACAACCTAGAATCATATTTGCTTTTTTTGCAACAGCATCACACTGCTGACTCATATTCAACTTGTGGTCCACTATGACCCCTAGA